CTTTCTCCAAGCCTATTCTGCATCTATTCATCATTTATATGAAATACACACACACACACACACACACACACACACACACGCATACATACTGAAAGATAATTTACTTCTTCAGGATAGCAGGGCGAAGGGAGAAAATCCACAGAAAAACAAGAAATGTGAATACAAGCCATTGGTAATGTTTCCTTTTTGGGGGGGTGAAGGGCAGAAAGGTCTCACAGAAGCAAGTCTATAAAAAGGGAAGAATTCTGCACATTATTCGGTTCTTTGGAGGTGAGATGCAGAAAAACATTTCATTTGTTCCCCGTTTAGAAATCATTCACACCCACGTTCCTATGAATTTTTTTCTGCGAAAGGAGGATACAGAAATGGGCTCGATGCAAGAAAAGCACATCCTTCACAGGCAAATAGTCTCAACTTCAATCCAGATGTTCTTGGGCAGGCAGAAAAGGCCATAACCCAGCCACCAGGGTTCTAGCTGTGGCGAATTCCACACATCATGACAAGCCAAATTGTGGTGTGCGTGTGTGAACCCAGCCCCTGTAGTTCCTAAACCATGACGGATGCCTCGGTGCAGATCTCATCGGCCTCAACACGATGGGGGGTGCTCGCTTTGGCAACTGTAATCGTGGCTGATTTATTAGCCGTTGGGTTTGCCCAGTAGGCTAAACTACAGGATTGGCACGAAAGGAAAAATGGGTGCAAAGATCTGGGTGGGTGTAGGTAAGTTTGGTGGAGGAACAGTGTCCTCTGTTTGAAGGGAAGTGAGCACCTTGGTGGACCCATTTTGGAGCTAAGGAGTGATGGGGAGACTGAAGTTCTCAAGGGAAGGCAGATCCTTCAGCTTCTAACTTTTCCTGGCTGTGTGTGGACTTCCTGCTTCCAACAATCTAGGAAAGACGACGAGCATCGAGAGAAAATGGGAATTAGCCCATAGGATCCACACCGCTTCCCAATTTGGATGTGGGTGAAGTGATCCACCTAATTCCATCTCTTGAAACCAAATGGGGGACCACCTCCTTTTGGTTAACATTTTCAGCCTCCAGAGGCAGTGATATCTCTCGAGAGAGAGGCCCCACGATAGCTGTACCTTTGGGTTTAGTTGTGGTGGCTCGGTACGCCCATTTTCAAGGTGAAATGTACCTCGAAACCTTTGTATGTTGAAAAGCACAGCTCGGCTTCTGTATTTCAGCCACGTGATCCGGGAGCTGGCAAAAAGAAGACCTTCTGTAGATTGAGAAGACCTATGGTCCTCTGGCGGCTTATACCAACACTAGCGAGCAACGTCTTTCTATGTGAATTCTTTGAAGTAAACACTGGAAGAGGTGACAAAACTGGAGTGGGTGGATGCTTCACAATCCAGCAACATGGGTAACAAAATTGGGATGTAAAATCTTTCCTGGAGGGGTTTTTCGGGGTGGGGAGGAGAGTGGAAATTGTTCCTCTAAGGCAGTGTTTCTCAACCTCGGCAACTTTAAGAGGTGTGGACTTCAACTTTCAGAATTCCCCAGCCAGCATGGCTGGCTGGGGAATTCTGGGAGTTGAAGTCCAGACCATTTAAAGTTGCTGAGGTTAAGAAACACTGCTCTAGGGTAAAAAGGAAAAAAAAAAAAAAAGAGAGAGAATTGCAGAAAACATAACACGTACTTACAGAAAGATCCTATTCTAACCCTCTCTCTCCAGCTTTGATTTTCTACATAAAGAGAGTTTTGACATTGCAAAGCGTAAAAACCAACACAAGTCTCTTCTTAGCAGCGGCATCTGTGGGTAGATCTTTAAAAGGGGGAGCGGGGTGCAGTTTTGCATTAAGTCTGGAAAATTTCTGAATGTCCACAGCTGCATTTTGGGGGAGGATCCGATGCGGGGAACGCGCTCAAATTCACCTCAGCAGCTGGAAGGGCAGTGGAGAATTGCGAGGACAGCCCTCAGCCAGGCCACCCAAGACGGCGCTCTGGAGCTAGATTTCTTCAGGCAGGCCACCACCAGGCCACGCCACGCCACCCGCCGCGGCCTCTCTCTCGAAGACCCGGAGAAGTATCGCGCGAGATGGAATTGGGCTGAGGGAGGTTGCGGACAAAGACATTCGTTCTGTTTTGTGCAAACCGCCGTTAATGCTAAGAAGTTTCCGACTGCCTCGGTTCTTCCCACCGGGAGAAACCAGAACGATGCTCCTCCAGTTTATTCAGCGTGACGGTGAGGTCTGGGGGATTTAAGAGTCTTCCCCGAGGATTTCTGTGACGAAGGAAGCCATCTCAGTCACTTTGGTGTCATGTAGAGTGAAGAAGGGGTGAGCCTGTTGGAAAAAGAGAGGAGGAGGAGGAGGGGAAGAAGGAGCAGGAGGAGGAGGAGGAGGAGAAGGAGAAGGGGATGAAGAGAAAGAGGAGGAGGAGGAGGACAAGGAGGAGGAGGGGGATGATGAGGAGAGGGAGAAGAAAGAGCAAGAGGAGGAGGAGGAGGACAAGGAGGAGGAGAAGGAGAAGGGGATGAAGAGAAAGAGGGGGAGGAGGACAAGAAGGAGAAGGGGGATGATGATGAGAGGGAGAAGAAAGAGCAAGAGGAGGAGGAGGAGGACAAGGAGAAGGGGATGAAGAGAAAGAGGGGGAGGAGGACAAGGAGGAGGAGGGGGAGGATGAGGAGAGGGAGGAGAAAGAGCAAGAGGAGGAGGAGGAGGAGGAGGAGGAGGAGAAGGAGAAGGGGAAGAAGAGAAAGAGGGGGAGGAGGACAAGGAGGAGGAGGGGGAGGATGAGGAGAGGGAGGAGAAAGAGCAAGAGGAGGAGGAGGAGGAGGAGGAGGAGGAGAAGGAGAAGGGGAAGAAGAGAAAGAGGGGGAGGAGGACAAGGAGGAGGAGGGGGAGGATGAGGAGAGGGAGAAGAAAGAGCAAGAGGAGGAGGAGGAGGACAAGGAGGAGGAGAAGGAGAAGGGGATGAAGAGAAAGAGGGGGAGGAGGAGAAGGAGGAGGAGGGGGATGATGAGGAGAGGGAGAAGAAAGAGCAAGAGGAGGAGGAGGAGGAGGACAAGGAGAAGGGGATGAAGAGAAAGAGGGGGAGGAGGACAAGGAGGAGGAGGGGGATGATGAGGAGAGGGAGAAGAAAGAGCAAGAGGAGGAGGAGGAGGAGGAGGAGGAGGAGTAGAGGGG